CTATTAGCCTTAATGTCTCGGAGGGCCATCATTTAGAATCTCAAGGTCCTTTCACCAAGAATAATTTTTAAAAATGTGACTTGAAGAATAACTTCATTACATTCTGTCTTTCAAATTCCACAAATATTTATTAAGCCCTGCGCCCCGCCAGGCCTGAGCGGGCTTGGAGAGACGGGGTAAAAGGAAGAAAGAGCGCCACGCAGAGCTCCCTGTGACTTCCTTCCAGTGTGACAGCATTACACTAGGGGCAGAGCTGGAACCACACGAAGACTGGGAAGTATAATTCATCATCCTGTGACCTTGTGATGGATTCTTACTGACAGGAAAAACCTGAAGTGTGGCCCACCCCCACCTCCAGACTGCCAGCTCCTGGATTTCAAACATCCGTGCAGGGCAGCCTCTGAGGTTTTTCAATAAACAGCGCTTGAATGGATGCAGGGGAAGGAAGACCGCCCAGAAGAAGGAGTTTTCAATTAAAAACAACCACCCTGAACCATGACAGGGTTGGGCGTTCCTAAAAGTCAGGTTAGACCAGAGATGACATTTAGGATAAATCCCTAAATGTTATTTCATTTTCCCTTACACCTCTGTAAGGTGAAGAATAATACTGCCATTTTACATAGTCAGAAAGCAAGGCTGTGAAAGAGTGACTCGCCCAAGGTCATACAGTTAGTAACTGGGAGGCCACTTGGAGGATGGGCTTCCAGGTGCCTGGGAAATCCAAAAGTTTTGAGATTTTGCTTTGAACCCCATTAGCACAGACTGCAGCCGTATGAGATTCGGAACACAAAGTGAACAGAATTAAAGCATTTCAGTGCTGTATACTTTGGAGTACATATGGCATGGAAGGAATTATCACATACTTAATGGGTTCCCACAATGGTTCCAGTCCATCTCTTGCTTTCCAGGAACTGACCTCTATGGTATGCCTCTCCATACCCTGTCACACACAACTACGGGTGTTCATGTCACTTTTTATGACTAAGGCTCTATGTTTTTGGCTTTATGCTTCTCTTTCCAGAGCTGAAAGACTCTTCTTCCAATGAGCAACATGATAGCACCGTGCAGGGATTATCCACGCTCACGGTTGCAAGTAACGCTATAATTACGACTCTCTCGTATTAAAATGTTAACAAAATTCAAAAAATCCGGTAGAATTAAATTTAATTTCTAATTTTAAAAAAAAGACGTGAAAGAACAGTTAGTTATCTTCAGTATCTAGACCTAGATAATGACACAAGTAAAAACCACTCCGAGGTTTTGAAATCAGGATAAAAGTGGAGTTTGCAAAATACCCACTGTATCATGCATTAATATTTCCCAAGGCTCGCCGTTTCGGCATGCACGGTGCTGCTGAATGTCTTCCTCACCCATCCCTCTCTCTGCTCATCGATGAAAAGATAACTTCAAAGTCAAAGGCGGTAGCGCGGGGGTGCAGGGAGCGCCGCGGCAACAGCAACTTCGGCCCGTCTTTGTACAGCCCTCCTCCGCCTCTGCCTCCACCCGCACCCTCATCCCCAGACCGTGCCCTCCAGGGGCTCCTCCACTGACCGCACACAGCACTGCCTCGCGGCACCCCGGATCGCGGTGACCCTCGAACACGTTCGCCCCGGCCCGGGTTCAGGCAGAGGGCACGCTGCCCACCGCCACCTCGGCGCGCCCCCTGCGCCCTCTCCATCCCAGCGAAGATGATTCTGCGCAGCAGCAGCAAAGCAGTCACCCGGGCACGTGCAAAGGCTACTTTTTAGTGGGTGTTCGAGAAAGTAATTAAACAGCTTAAGGCCGCCGGAGGCTGGTGGAGCCAAAGTGACCCCGGCGCGGTACCGCCCGGGCCTCTCCCGGGAAGCCTCCTCACTGACCCCGCGTGCCCACCTGCGGGCACCGCGCCCCGCGATCGACTGGAGCCACCCGCTCCCCTCCCCCCACCCTGC